GTCGAAACCCTTCCAAACACATTGTGGTGTCAACCATTTCAACGCACGAATCCTACCATACTTCCTCGGAAAAAAATCTGCACCAAAAATCAAAATGTCGACCCGCGCGCGCTTTCCAAACCCTAGGAAACCAATGGTTTTTCAATATTTCGGCCATGCGCACAACTTTTGCGCGCGCGTCGAACTCCTTTAGCATCGGTCGCGCGTTTGCCAGGGCCAATCCCTTTGTAAAAAACACCATGCTGGGCACATGCGCGCGGCCGCCGGGCGCGGATGCCGAAATCCTTCTCGTCGTCGTCGTCGTCGTAGTTGGCGTCGTCGTTGCCGTCGTCGTCGTCGTTCCCGCCGTCGTCCTCCCTCCTCCCTCGTCGTCGTCGTCGGCGTCGTCGGCGTCCAGAAGCTCTCGACCCACGTCCTGTTCGCCAGAGCTCTCCACCCCCTCGTCGTCGTCCGACGTCGTCGCCGCCGTCGTCGTCGTCCTTCTTCCCTCGCCGCCGTCGTCGTCGTCGTCGTTGTCGTCGTCGTCGAAGTCGTCGGAATCGTCGTCGGTGTCGAGTCGTCGTCGGCGTCGTCGTCGTCGTTGTCGCTGTCGTCGTCGGCGTCGGTGTCGCTGCCAAGTGCCATGTGGTACCTACCGCCACGGTATTAAGAAGTCTTGCGACCAAATTGCAGGTGGGAGGGTGGGATGTTTGCACAAGCAGCGGAGAGGACAGCTTCAAGACAGCCAAAGTGAATTGCACCATGTAAGTTGCAACACCTAAACTGGCCAAAAAAACTGCACCACATCGATTGCTCCACATAGGCAGCACCGCATCGGATACTAGAAACACACTGCTTGAGGTCCGCGCTGGCTAACATGCCTGTGAATCGGGTTCCCGCTTAGGCTCAGCGTACTTGTTTCGATCGCCAATGTGTCGACGCGCATACAAAAAAGAAACGATGTCGCACCCGCCTCCACGCTCGCGTCGCCCTGCGACGCTGCGCGTCGCGCGGCGCCCCCTCCACTTCGCCCATGCATGGGGGCTGGGGTGGGGGCGCCCGCCCTGCTGTTCCGTGATCGCGATCAACGTTGCACGATGATCGCCCCCAAAAAACGATGTCGTACCCGCCCCGACGCCGCGCTCCTGCCTCGGCGCGGCACATCTTGTCCACTCGCTGCGTCGTCGGAGACGGGGCCGCGCGCGAGCGGACGACTTGCCGCCCCCCTTCTCCCAAGCTCCGTGCAGACTTGGCCTGCAAGTGGCGTCCCCGCGCGGGCGCGGCGCAGACTCGCCTTGAAGCGGCAGCGGGGCCGCGCGAGAGCGGGCGAAATGCTGTCATCGCCCAAGCGCCGTGCAATGTTGTGCGTGAGCGTGGCAGTCCCGTGTCGGCGCGGCGCATGCTTCGTCTTCGCCGCGATCATCGGGCATGTGGCCACCTGGAGAAGGCTAAACGGTGCTCTCGCCGCAACGCCGCGCAAAGGTTTTTTGAAGTTCCGCTCCCGCCTGGTCGCGGCCAGCGTGCTTTTGGCTTGGCCTCCCTACGTCGTCGGAAGTGGGACCGCGCGCCTGCGCCTTCCGGTCTCTAGTTGGGAACGCGATCCAGTCCCAAAATGCACTTGGGCCACCATTGATCATTTTCCTAGAGGAGATAAGGAAGCAATGGGCGGGGCTCGCGGACTCGTGGAACGTGGATCACCTGATTCCTTACGTGTCCTCCTCCCTCCTCTCCTCCTCCTCCCCTCCTCCTTCTCCCCTCTCCCCTCCTCCCTCCCTCCCCTCCCTCCCTCCCTCCCTCCTCCTCCTCCCGCCCTCCCCCCTCCTCCCCCCCCCCCCCCTTCCCCCCCCCCCCCCTCCCATCCCTCCCTCCCTCCCTCCCTCCTCCTCCGTCCTCCTCCTCCCTCCCATCCTCCTCCTCCTCCTCCTCCTCCTCCCTCCCTCCTCCTCCTCCTCCTCCTTCTCCGCCTGCTCCTTCCTGCTCCTCCTCCCCTCCTCCTCCTCCTCCTCCTCCTCCTCCTCCTTCCTCCTCCTCCTCTCCTCCTCCTCCTCCTCCTCCTCCTCCTCCTCCTCGTCCTCCTCCTCCTCTCTCCTCCTCCTCCTCCTCCTCCTCCTCCTCCTCCTCCTCCTCCTGCTACTCCTATCCTTATTCTTTATTCGAATATACTCCTACTCCCCCCTCAGGCCGGCAGATAGCGGGCGCATCCGGGTGGTCCCATCCTATCCTGTAAAAAACAATACAAAATCAACATTTTTCTTATTTTTTCCTCTCGACATGGACGTCCTGTCGTCCACGGCGATAATCCATTGCAAAAAATACCACAAAGAGCACACGCGCGCGTTCATGTCAGAATCCTACCGAACACCGTGTGTTTGCAAGCATTTCAACATAAAAACATCAAAAACCCAATGCTTTTTCACAAAAATTGTACAAATTTCCCGCCCGGGCTCTCTTGCTGAAATCATAGGAAAACCATAGGAATCTTAAGAATTCTGTCAAATCCAGCGATTTCACGTCATCGCGCGGTGCACTCGCGATGCTCTGTCATGCACCCAGGCCGCGAATCCTGTGCAAAAAATACCACAAAGAGCACACTCGCGCGTTCATGTCAGAATCCTACCGAACACCGTGTGTTTGCAAGCATTTCAACATAAAAACATCAAAAACCCAATGCTTTTTCACAAAAATGCTTTGGGGTGTCCTGTCAGACCGTCGGGCTTCCTCCGGCCACCTCTGGCTTCCTGCGGTGTACCGGGCCATTCTCGACTCGTCTGGCAATGCGTGCGCGGCATTCAACACGCGCTCGCCAGTTCCCGTCGGCAACCGCCATCGCGGCCGCATCAGCTGTACCAAACCGGCTGGCCGGTGTGACTTCGGCCCCCAGTTGTGCCAGCTTTGCTTCTTATGTTGTGGGAGGGCGGGTGGGACTGGGCATGCCATGCTTGACTCGCTCGAGCTGGCTAGCTTGACTCCTACTCCTACTCCTACTCCTACTCCTACTCCTACTCCTACTCCTACTCCTACTCCTACTCCGCCTCCTCCTCCTCCTCCTCCTCCCTCCCCTCCTCCCTCCTCCTCCTCCTCCTCCCCCTCCTCCTCCTCCTCCTCCTCCTCCTCCTCCTCCTCCTCCTCCTCCTCCTCTCCCTCCTCCTCCTCCTCCTCCTCCTCCCCTCCTCCTCCTCCTCCTCTCCTCCTCCTCCTCCTCCTCCTCCTCCTCCTCCCTCCTCCTCCTCCTCCTCCTCCGCCTCCGCCTCCGCCTCCGCCTCCGCCTCCGCCTCCGCCTCCTCCTCCGCCTCCTCCTCCTCTCCTCCTCCTCCTCCTCCTCCCTCCTCTCCTCCTCCTCCTCCTCCTCCTCCTCCTCCTCCCCCCCTCCGCCTCCTCCGCCTCCTCCTCCTCCTCCTCCTCCTCCTCCTCCTCCTCCTCCTCCGTCTCCTCCTCCTCGACCCTCCTACTCTTCCTCACCCATTCCTTTTCCTTCCTGATAACTCCTCCCTGTCGCACCCCGAGGCCGGTCGAAAGGGCGGGCAGGGCGTCTTGCCTTACATTTCCTCACCATTACAACCCTGATGCTTAAAGATTGACCACCGCTTCACGGACGGAGGGCGGGGCGGATGATCTTCAAAATGTGGATCTCACCTTAGCGCCGCTCGCATTCGTTCGACAAATGTGCGAGAACTTCAGGAATTGAGGGCGGCTCGTTTTCGAAATGGCGTACATTCGTTTTCAAAGTTTGCTAGCTTCGCGGATTGAGGGCGGGTCGTGTTCATAATGTGGCTCTCGCCTCAGCGCTGTGCATATGAGTTGTACACATTCGCAAACAAAGAAACTTCACTGATTGAGGACGGGTCGTTTTCAAAATGTGCCTCTCGCCCTAGCGCCGCGTACATTCGTTTAAGGTGCAGAAACTTCACGGATTGAGGGCGGGTGGTTTTCAGAATGTAGCTCTGGCCTTAGCGCCGCGCTCTTGCGCTTCCGAAGTCGCAAGAGTTACACGCATTGAAGCGGGTCGTTATCATAATGTGATGTTTGCCTTAGCGCCGCGCACATTCCATTTGCAATAGCTCCATGGATTGAGGACGGCTCGTTTTCAACATGTGGCCCTCGCCTTAGCGCCGCACACTCGTTCTAAACTTGGCAAGGGGTTCACCGATTCTTACAGTTAACGTACCAGAACTAGCGTTTGGAACGACTCAGGATTGTCAGGGCGCAACAGTTACGTTGATTTGCGGAGTTGTCATCCCATGAATGGTTCTGACACGACTCAGGAACGCCAGGACGTGAGAGTCAGGTGAATTAACTGGTGGCGTTGAAGTTATGAGGACGGTTTTTTTGAAACGCTTCAAGGTGTCCACACGGTTGTCCCCCAACGGGGCACTTCCCTCAGTGGAAATGATCCTTTGTGGGTGCCCGCTATGAAGAGGGATCTTGGAGAGAGGGTGTTTTTTCAAAATATGTTTATGAGTCTTAGGCTTACAAATGTCCTCCTCCTCCTCCTCCTCCTCCTCCTCCTCCTCCTCCTCCTCCTTCTCCCCCTACCCCTCCTCCTCCTCCTCATCATCATCATCCTCCTCCTCCTCCTCCTCCTCCTCCTCCTCCTCGACCCTCCCGAGGCCCCCCAAAGTAACTTCGTAAAGAAGCGACCGGTCTTGATCGCTGCTGGCAAGGGGAGGGCCCGCTTGGTTGCGCCTGCCCCCCCCTGGAGGCCGCCCAATGGGCTGACAAACCGCAACCCTAACCACCCAACTTCGCGCTTCGCGACGCGCGGAGCTCCACGTGCGATCGGACCGTGATCGTGCCTTCGCCAAGCCTGCCTGCAGGAAGAGCAGCCCGTCGGCCGAGACCGCAAGTGCGGGAAGCGCGACTCACTTCGCGCCCCTCCTCCTCCTCCTCCTCCTCCTCCTCCTCCTCCTCCTCCTCCTCCTCCTCCTCCTCCTCCTCCTCCTCCGTCTCCGTCTCCGTCTCCTCCTCCTCCTCCTCCTGCGGAGCACCTGGACCACGGAGAGCGGGCCGCCGCCCCCCCCGTCCTCGGCATCGAGCTGGCTCCTCTGGAGCTGCGCCTGGCTGGCCAAGAGAGAGAGGGGGTTACCCCTCCCACCCTGTCTCTCCCCCACCCCGTCCCGCCCCCGCCCCCCCCGCTGCTGATTCTCCGGATCCTCCTCCCCCCTCCTCGTCTCCCCTCCTCTCCTCTCCTCTCCCTCCTGCCCCTGCTCCCCTTCTCCCCCGCACACCCCTGAACCCCCTTCCCATGGGGGGGATTGGAAGGCAGGAGGACAGGGCGAGGGGGGGGGCGAGGAGGCGGAGGAGAAGGAAGAGCAGAAGGAGGAGGCGGAGGCAGCCAGCACGCTGTGGGCGCCGCCGCTCTGGACCCCGAGCGAGGGGGGCGGGTGGGCGGGCGGGCGAGCGGGCGGCGGGCGTCGGGCGGCCGATGGTGCACAGGAGGGCGGAGGGTGGTGAAGGATGGTGGGGCGTTGGTGGAGGGCGGTCGGTGGTGGGTGGTGGGCGGCTGGTGATGGGTGGTGGCGGTGGGTGGTGGGTGGGTGGGGGGGGAGGGTCGTGGGTTGTTGGTGGGTGGGTGCAGCGGGTGCGGTGGGTGTCGGCCCTCCTCGTCCTCGCCGCCCTCCTCGTCCTCCTCCTCCTCCTCCTCCTCCTCCTCCTCCTCCTCCTCCTCCTTAGTACCATTATCCTTGCTCCTCGTGTGGCGCCCCACCCAGCTGCCACCATGGCACTGCGCACCTACCTCTTGGCATCTGTGGTAGCTGGAAGGACGAAAAGCGTACGGTTCTGACTTCGTTTGGTTGGCTTTGGGCGCTGCACTGGCCACAAGAATGCGTGCCCCGTTGTGTACTGCCCGCCTTCTGGGTATCCTCCTCACCTCCTGGCGCCACCAATACGGCTTTAGGTGAGAGTCGTACCAGCCTGCGCTCGCCTGGCGATCCTTTGCTTCAGTTCAATGCTTCCCACTTTCGCCCTCTCTTCCCGCGAGCTTTCTCGGATGCTCCCCCAGCCCCCGACCATTAGCAGCGAATGGCGGCCTTGGTCGCCAGAATTGCAGCTAAGGAAGAGGCTGCGCGAGCCTCAGAGGCGATTTAGCTCGGGTCGATCCCCCCAGTGCTTTTGGTGCTGTCACCTCCCGACCTCTTCAGGCGCTGCCCATCCATCCCCCTCCCCCTCCTCCTTGTCCTCCTCCTCCGCAGCTCGACCAGCTCAATGGAGCCGAGCGCTGCGACTTCCCGGGCAGTCAGGCCGCGGACCTCCAGGCCAGGGCTGTCGCGGAGCTCTGCGGCGTGCCCCGGCACTTGAAGGCCACCTGGGCCACGCGTTGTTTCCAGGTCAGCGGCGTGCCCGGCTTCGTGGATGTGGCAACCTCTCTGGTTGGCACGTTCGACGACACGACCGGCCGCCAGCATAGCACCGCCTAGCCTCCTGGCCCTCGTCTTGGGCGTGACCCGCTTGCTTCCGCCCGAAGAGCATCGGCATGCGACGGAATGGGATACAAGGGGGTGCGGCGGTGTAGCAAGTGCAGCCAGCGAGCTCAATCCGATAAGGCCAAGCCTGTGCTGGCTCGAAAATTTTGTCGCGCGGGCCCTTGCTTTGACAGCCGCTGGAAGCACACCTCCAAGGCTGATCAGGAGTCTCCCAGTAAACTGCGGGACGGGAAAATGACCACAGCCACTGCTTCTTGTTTGCGCCGCCTTCCAGCCGGCCGAAAAACAAGCAGTGGTTGTGGTCATTCCCCTGGTGCCAAGCTCAAACAAATTACCACAACCACTGTTTTTTTTTTCTGCGGGCGGGAAGGCGGCAACAAAAGAAAAGCAGTGGCTGTGGTCGTTTTCACGCCCCGTATAAACGGTTTGCAAATTGCAGGGGGGGGGGGCACGACAGCATCGAGTGGTCAGAGTCTCCCGGTATACGATTCGCACGTGGCGCAGCGCTTTTCGTTTACCAGCGCCAAAGGGTGTGTGCACTGCTCGTTTTCTGTCCCCATGAGCCTCGGGATCACTTCCACTAGATCTCGCCGCAACCGACTGCTGAAAGGGAGGCATCGGTATCTGGACAATCGTCTTCCAGGGAAGGGTGGTTGCTCTCTCCCGCGCCCAGGGGCTGGCAGCTAACAGTACAAGCGCATAGTAAGAATGCGCGGCAAGGACGCGAGGGCCTTGGGAGGCCATGTTGACGTTTTTCAAGCGGGGTTGGCCATCAAAAATTACCGAGGCTGGGCCGAAGGGGCAAGGATGCAAGGGTAGCCTTGGAAAATGGTTCGTTCCTACTGTGCGCTTTGACTGTACGAGCCTGTGGGCCTTCCAGTGTTGACCTGCTCTGCGGTCAGCTGGCTGGTCCTCTTGTGCGCGAACACGGGTGCTTGTAAGGCCAGGTCGCCCAGGCAGGCAGGAGGCCGCGACTCGCTCGACCTCACTGTCGCCGCGGGGAAAGAAAAACTCCGCCCCATCCTCCTCCTCCTCCTCCTCCTCCTCCTCCTCCTCCTCCTCCTCCTCCCCCTCCTCCTCCCCCTCCCCCTCCTCCTCCTCCTCCTCCTCCTTCACCCCTCCTCCGTATGAATAAGTCCGCCCGGTTGCATCCCCAAACGTGCGGTCCGGGCGGGCAGGGCGTTTCGCTTGAGACTTCCCCACCGCTTCTGGCATTGAAGCTTGGAGTTTCCCACAACCACACTGATGGAGGGTGAATCGTTGTAATAGTGGTGCTCTCGCCTGGGCGCGGCGCACTGCCGCCTAAAAAAAGCAGCGGCTACACGGACGGAGGGAGAAGCGTGGTCAGCATGGGGCTCTCGCCCTGGCGCCGCGGACGCTCGTCTGCACAAGTCCCGACAGCTTCTCAGACGGCATGCATGTCGTGTTCAAAATGGGGTTCTCGCCGTGGCGCCGCGCAGACTCGTCTTGGAAATTGAAAACATATATACTAATGGAGGACGGTTCCTTTTCAAAGCGCGTCGATCGCACTGGCGCCGCGCACGCTCGATCTACAATATCCGCTACGCAGACGGAGGGCCGTTCCTCATTCAACATGATGGTCTCGCCTGAGACGTCCTCAAATGTGCGACCACACCCACGAAAGTTTGCAACGGCTGCAGATATGGAGGGCGCCTCCTGTTCCAAAATGGGTTTCTCGCCTGTCACTTCGTTAGACGGTATGACCAGGAATACGAAACTGTGCAGTGAGTACAAGGATGGACAGCGGTATTCAACGTCGCTAGGCACTACCTTGAACGGTATGCCTTGACGGGCTCGGATGGACCTAGTGCCAGGGCCCCAGGGAGTGACCAACACATGAAACACATAAAACTACAAGAAACCCAACATGTGCAAACATGAAACTACAAGAAACTTCTGAATGGAACGCAATGATATAATATTATATATAGAATGTGATAAATAGTAGAAATTCATATAAACGCATAACAATGATGTTCTGTGGCGTACACTACTGGCACTTGAGTAGACGCACGCGCCTGACACATTGCACTGCGCATGCTCTGATACACTGCATCGGACGAGAAATCCTTTGACGCGTCGGAGAAAGCATGGGAACTTGCGTGACAGCAATACTTGGGGAGGATGGATAACGACAAGGATGAAGGCTGAAACGCGCTCCTGCGATCGACGTTACTCGAAATCCAGACTAGCGCGCGCAGCTCGGATCGGCGCAAGGAAACAATGCCATCTCCTTGCGCCCCAAACCACACTTCCACCACTACCCCTCCTTTCCCCCTCCTTCCCTCCTCCGTATCTAGATCTTGCGGCGTCTAGTTGCGGTCGGCGGCAATGCGCCCCCGCCCCCGCGCCGCCCTAGTGAAACCTCCGAGCGAGCCCCAAAACGATCTGAGCTTCGACGTCGCGAGGATCGCCACGACGAAGCGCTCCCAGACATTCTCCCAAGGACCTAGGCTGGAGAGAAATGCTGGCGCGGGCGCTGGCTCGGTCGCGGGCTCGGCATTCGGCGCTACACGCCGAGGGGCTCTCACTGCACCACCTCGGCGACTAAGGTAATTCAAGTAGCCTCCAAGAGCGCCCCAGAACTTGCTGAGCATATCAAGCGCGAGAACACCACGAACCACGCGCCACCAGTCATGAGGGCCACGGCAAACAATTTCCCAAGCGTCGGAGGCACTGGCCATGGCGGCCAAGACGATTGCGCGGGGGGGGACGGGCATCAAACCAACCTCATCTCTCATCTCAGACTCACTCATCTCAGACTCACACTCAGACTCATATCAGACTCATCTCAGACTCATCTCAGGTTTTTCTTTGACTCATCTCATGCGAGACTCACCTCGCACTCATATCGCCTCCCATCGCGGCGGCGCGGTGGCCCTTCCCCCCCCACCCCACCCCCACACGCACGCCTGCGGTCGCGCGTCTTGCCCCCCACCAGGGGCCGCCAGGGGGGGCGAGGCGGGGAGGCCCGACCGCCGCCTACTTCGGCTCTCGAGCCGCGCGCCTATCCTGCCGCCCGTCGCGCCTCAAGCCTCAAGACCCAATCGAATCCTCCGACGAGGGCATCAAGCCCTGCCGCCCGTCGCGCCTCAAGCCTCAACCAGTCCCTCAACCCGCCAGGCGAGCAGAGACAATCGGACATCGGAAATAGGAAATTGGAAATGCACTGAAATGGATTGACGCCAAGTGGGGGCAGGGAGGGGAGATGGTAGATGGTCCGACGGCGAGGGGGAGGAAAAGGATTGGAACGAGGAGCGTGAGAAGGCACGTTATTTGTTATTTCCTCAGCCTAATGGGTCAACACCCCCTGAAAGGGGGGATCATCTCAACGCGGGCGGCAGCGATCTGACTTGCTCCGCGGCGCCGGGCACTCGGCGACAACGCCGAGCCGCGCGCCTCGCCCCTCGACGAGCGCCCCGCCAACAAAACAAAAAAAACGCGAAGCTCGAAACGCCTCTCCCTCGACTTCCTCTTGGCCTGGCCTATCCTCCATCCGATCCTCCGATCCTTCATCCCTTATTCTCGATCCTCCCGTGGCCCTCGCCCCCCTCATCCCCTTCGCCCTCTCTGCCGCCTCCTGCGCCTGCTCCTGGTCCTCCTGCTCCTGC